AGAAAGCCCCCACTAAAGACTGGTACTTCCTTAATGGATGCATAGAATCAAGTACAATGGTCTGGCTCCTGACCTGAGAAGGCACTTTTAATTATCATGTAGTCAGCAAGTAATTCCAATGCTATATAAGATATTTATAGAATTATCTGTTTTTTAATTGAGGTATCAATTATCAAAGGAATGAATATTAAGTATAAAATAGCAGCACCAATAATGATGACAAACACCTTCACAGCATGTGAAATTGCCAAAATAATTTAAAAATTGTCTATGAGTTCCTAAACAACTCTGAGGTTATTTTAGATAATTTGGTGATCCTGTAAACAGTTATAAATTGAAATGTTTGAGAGTTTCTGACTTAAAAAAAAAAAAGTCAGTCCTATACCAACTGCAATTGAAGTAAGTGTAAATTAAACTAAGTTTGTGATAACAAAAGTCTACAAGCCTTTTGAGAATTCTGAAAGCAAAACTTAAAAAAAAAAAATGGATCTTGTCTACCTAAGCCACGAGATAAGATTGACATTGCAGTGACAAATCATGTTGATATCATGTACCCTTAAGTCAAAATGGTGCGAGTGACACTTTACCTCTGTGTTCTTCCTCCTCAAAACCTGTAACCCTCATCTAATTATAAGAAAGACATAAGACAAACCAAAATTGAGGGGCATTCTGCACAATATCTGGGCAGTACTTCCCAAAACATTCAAAGTCATCCAAAACAAGGAAAGTCTGAGAAACTTTCAGTCAAAAGAAGCCTAAGGATTCACAATGACCAAGTGTAATGTGGGATCCTGGATGAGATCCTGGAACAGATAAAAGATGTTAAGAACAAGTAAGGATATTTGAGTAAAGTATGGACTTAATAATTATGAACCAATATTGGTTCATTTGTTGTGACAAGTGCACTATAGTGTTAGATGTTAACAATAAAGGAAACTGGGTACGGGTATATGGGAACTCTTTGTCCTATGCAACTTTTCCGTAAACTAAAATTATTCCAAAGTACAATGTTGGGGGGAAAAGGCTCTTCTGATATGTTTGCAGAGGAAGATGCTTTTTAGTTTATAAATTATTTCCATAATTTGTGACAGTTCTCACATCTGCTCCTATAAAATTCATTGCAGCTTCTCTGCCTCTTGGGAAAAAACGCATTTAATTATCAGAGAAATTCAACTTTAGCTTGTTGTGATGAATGATTTGAACCTGTCAGCTTTTTTTCCTCCTAAAAACAAAAGAACTGAAATGAGACACAGTCCTATTCCTCAACTCCCTTCCTTCCACTTGCTTCATTTAATTGATGGCGGTTTGAGCTTTTATTAATCTTTTTGAGCTCTTCTATAAGATGTAGAAAAAGCTAATATGATATCATTGTGTCTAGCTAATGTGTGCGCTTTGTGAAATTGATACACCCTGCCAAGACATAAATTACTTAAGCTTTGATAAATGTGTTGAAATCAAGGAATGTTCAAACAGATAAAGCATAGCAATTCCTCTTTCTTCCCCTTTTAAAAACTCCATTTTATGCTTGCAGTTAAATGTCTTTGCATTATTATTATAATATGATGGGACAAAAGACAGCAGTGATACTGAAATTAGCATGAAGAGCCCCAGCAAGTACAAAAGTAACCAGGGGTACACAGCCCTGTGTTTTGTAGATAACATCCAACAGCCTGGTCCTGGACAGAGTAGTTTGCCAGCAGGTTCAGAACCACCTGTAGTCTTCTCCCAGCATGTTGTATCACAGAAATTGTCTGTGAAATTCAGTAATGAGGGTGCCTGCCAGACACTTTGTACTTTTAGCTCCCTTTGATGACTCATTTGGTAGTTTGGAATCAAAGATCTATGAACACATTTTGTTGGCAAAGAGAGCTCACCTGTATCTGTGTTCTGGATGTGAGTCGGATGCCAGTGAGATTGGAAACATGAGGAAACATTTGACTGATGTTCTGGGTGGAGAAGGTTGATTTCTACTTGGCCATTAATTTATCACATGGCACTGAACAAGTTGCTCAATTAATCATTAATCAGTTTCTTGGAGGTTTGAGAATTTATATAACCCTTTGGAAACATTTCATGAGTAGGAGGCACGAGATTATCCACGGGACCATGGAGGAGCTATCAGTCACTGAACGCCTTTTGCCAAGGATTAGGTTCAGTAATTTCCATCCACTTATTAGTCCTTACAACCAGCAAAGGAGATATATAGATAAAGGAGATATACAGGAAACTGGGGTTCAGGTTGTATACTGAGGCAAGAGGTGATGACATCTTTAGACACCAAATCCTATGCTCTTCCCACCACACCATGCTGCCTCCCTGCTGGGAGTGTATGGATAAGTAAAGAACGGGGTTGTTGTTCAGGAAAGCATGTAACATAAAATAAACACTTTAAGGAAAAAAAAAAAGGCATGTTGCTGCTGAGTGTTTTCACACATGTGGTTGAAAAGTATTTATGAACAGAAAATATATCTTAGTTCTGCTGTTAAAGTATTGATCAGTAGCAAGGTGCATAACGGTAAGAACTGAGATATTTTTAAAGAAAAAAAGCAAAAGAGGACAATGTCAGAAGGGACCCTATGAAAGAGAGGAAGACAGGCAGGAATGAGGGTAGGAGTTCGATACTGTTCTGCATGAGGGAGTAGAGATCAGGAAGTAAAGGAGCTGTCCTCATACACCACGTGCTCGGTATATGGTAGGTGTTGTCTGTCAGCATATACCAAGCAACGTGGATCTCATGAAATACCAGAAACAGGTGAAAAATAGGTAGTAGACTGTGGGCAACAGAAATCACGATCAGAGAAGAGAAATTGGACTTTGATCAGCAAGGGTCTTCTTATCAGCCCGTGTGACTTTGGCCCTCTCTAGAGAGGCCAGGACACGTCCTTTGGGTCAGGCTGCATCAATTCTTAGGAAACTTGAGTCAGAATCTGAGCCAGGGTATTGAACTCCACTATTACCAATTAAGTGGCATGAGATTTGTGCACGTAATTAAAGGTGTTCGAAATCAGAAAGCTATAGTTATGGTATCAGAAATATTTTGAACCAGAAATCCTGAGTAATGATCCCTCTCTCCCTGGTGAATATGCCAGCCTTTCAACACCAGGAGAGAGAAAGAAATATCAATTTAGGAGGCAAAAGCCCCTAAGAGGTCATGTGGATTTAGGTTCTCAAAAAAGTGAGAATGTGCATCCTGTCAATGTGCCTTTCTGCCAACCTCAACAATGTAAGTGAAAAGGAAAGAATTTTTAGAAACTTCAGAAATGAGGAATAAAAGCCCTTCGGAAATTAATCAAAGGGAGAAATATATTATGTAATGCACCTCCCCAAACAAATGAAAACAAAACCCACTCATGCATTTTAAGTCCTTAGATTTCCACCTAAAGTCATCTTGGGACTATGTATAGGTGAAAACACTTTTAACAAATCTCTGATAGGACTTAAACTTCTAAGCTTTTATGAATATATAAAAGATAACCTTATATTATGTTGTCAAACTATATGATATAGTCAATTTATAATATTTATAATCTAGGCTATGTCTTTTTTTTTCAAAATTGGATTGAAAGCAATACTTTTGGGAATAATCTGAGACCAGTTTTACCAAGTGCTTGGCCAAGTTTGAAAGGGCTGGAGAAGCAGCATATGAACATAGCCTCACTTTTTTCCTCATCCTTTTCAGTATGTTGACGGTTTTTAGAGTCATTACGAGAGTGGTTTGTGCCATCAGAGATAAGAGGCTATCATGTTTCCACAATAAACCTCTATTTTTCAGGCCTTATAGTCCATCCATAAATATTCAGTTCAGGCAATAATTCCAGGTATAATGATTCTGTCCCTCAAAATCCATACTGACTTAACTAAATGATTTTTAGAATCATGGGGGACTCTTGTACTACAAAAAGAATAAAAAAGTTCTATATTTTAATGGCTATGATTTGAATCAAAATACAGTGAAACCCATAAAACACATGCACACAACTCTTCTTTAGCGGATCTATCTTTCGGCATATAATTCGGTTGTAATAGCATTAATTATATTACATACGGTCTATTAATTAATTCAGAATATACTTTTCCACATAGTCTTAGTCCATTTTCTATTGATATAACTGAATACCTAAAACCGGGTAATTTATAACAAAAATAAATTTATTTCTCACAGTCTTGGAGGCTGGAAAGCCCAGGGTAGAAAAGTTGCATCTGGAGAGGGTCGATTCCTGAGGTAGCACAGGGCATCACATGGCAAGGCGACTCATGAGAGAGTCAGCCAAACTGGCTTTTCATAACTGACTCATTCTCATGAAAACTAACTCCCTCAATAACCCATTAATTTATTAACCCATCAATCCATTAACCCATAAATGGAGTAATCCAATCATGAGGGTGGAGCCCTCATGACCCAATCACCTCTTAAAGGCCCCACTTCTGTTGTATTAGGGATTAAATTACAGCATGAATTTCAGAGGGAACAAACATTCAAACCATAGCAAACGTTAATTTTTATAAAGGCAACTAAATGTATAGTTTTTCAACTAAAACTTTTGTAGAACTTTCTAATACTAATCACACATCTTTTTTGTTAGTTTGTCATGGAATTATATCAAAAGCTATCAAATTATATGTCATACCCTTTGAGTATAATAGTACCTTTAATATTGCCAAGTATATTTGAGACTAATCAATATCTTATATTTGTAGTTTCTAGCTCCTCCTTAGTAACTTTCAGCCTAGAGTTGTCTTCCACCTGAAAGAAAAGACTGCACAAATTTAATGATTTTATCAAATGACAGCTCAAAATATACTACTTCCCCCAGTCTGGAAATTAAAATTGTGAAGATTAGGAAACAGACTAAAACCACATCAACTCATTAAAATGAAACACTCACTTCTTAATTTCACCATTTTAATTTTTATTCTCACAGTTTTACACTTCTTGAATTAAATGCTCATCTTGTCACACTGTTGAGCCCAGCTGTGTGTGTGAAATGCTACTTAGCAAGAATCTAAATAATATTGAAAGAATTTTCCTTGTGCACGTCAATGTGTGTGTGCTCAAAGCCTAACCTAAAGTTTACTTCTCTTTCTTTTCAAACAGCTCTTTTGCGACAGTAGAGAAGTGGTGCATGCCACAGAGGGGCTGGATTGGGAAGACAAAGATGCTCCAGGGACATTGGTCGGAAACGTGGTGCACTCCAGGATCATCAGTCCCTTGCGCCTGTTTGTTAAACAGTCTCCAGTGCCAAAGCCTGGTCCCACGGCATATGCAGATAGCATGGAAAACTTTTGGGACTGGCTGGCCAACATCACAGAGGTTCAGGAGCCATTGACAAGAACTAAACGGAGGCCAATAGTAAAAACGGGAAAATTTAAGAAAATGTTTGGATGGGGCGACTTTCATTCCAACATTAAAACTGTCAAACTAAACCTCCTCATCACAGGAAAAATCGTCGATCATGGAAATGGAACCTTCAGTGTTTATTTCCGACATAATTCAACAGGTCTGGGCAATGTGTCAGTGAGCTTGGTACCCCCCTCCAAAGTGGTGGAATTTGAAGTTTCCCCCCAGTCTACCTTGGAGACCAAGGAATCTAAATCTTTCAATTGTCGCATTGAGTATGAAAAAACAGATCGGGCAAAGAAGACTGCTCTGTGCAACTTTGACCCGTCCAAGATCTGCTACCAGGAGCAAACTCAGAGCCATGTGTCTTGGTTGTGCTCCAAGCCCTTCAAGGTCATTTGCATTTACATTGCCTTTTACAGTGTTGATTATAAACTCGTGCAAAAGGTCTGTCCTGACTACAATTACCATAGTGAGACCCCATACTTATCTTCTGGCTGAATCTTTCCAAAATGATGGAAATGAAGGACATATGTATGTGTGTATTTAATTAGAATGACCAAGAAACAAGCCCAGCTCTTCATGGCAAAAGATTCCTTTTGTTTCTGGCAGTGAACCGTAGTTCCCTATCAGGTTTTCAAATAAAAAAAAAGAAAGAAAGAAAGAAAGACTTTTAAATGTGAAATGTGTTTGTTTTGATCATAAGTACCTTTATCTAAAGAGTCAAACTGTTTATGAAATTGTCGCTTTCATGTAAGATGAACTAAGTTCTAGAACTATTGTTGTTTCTCTGAAAAAATGTCAGTGGGAGCCACGCGTGACAAGAAGGAACTGAATTATGCATGTTACGAACATTGCTCTTAAAATGAGCTTGCTTTTGAAATATGCTTTGGAGGTTTACCTTAAAAATAGCAGATTCAGTAAAGCAACTGAAAAGATGGTATTTGATAGATGAATTGTGTTTCTGACATTGAATTCTTTTTTTTATTGCTGTCTTTTTCTCCACATCTATGCCATTATTTATATGAGAGATGAAAGGGTAAAATTTGTTTCAAAATTCGTGTGTGAAGTTACAGTACCACAGTGGAACCAAGTACGTTATCATCTGAGCTAGAGTTGAGTGGAACGTAATTTAAGCACCTAGCCCTGTGTTGGTCACCATCCTTCCAATTCTCATCTTCGGAGTAATACTGGTGGATGGGGAAAGCAAATCTGGGTATAAGTCATTTCAACAATAATGAAGATCATGATGTTTTTAGACTCTTTTGCCAAATTCAATGGTCTGAGATTATCAAAAATAACATAGAATTTGTATGTACTCTGCAGCTTAAAACTTCTTTCTATTAATTTGATAGTGTGATTTTATATACATATGTAGAATAACTCTGACATTGAAAGAAAATGATTGTTTTCTAGGCTAGAATGGGGGAAAAAATTGGATGAAGAAGAAAATTCCAAGATCATGGATTCATTATTCCTAGCCTCCTGGGTTAAGTTCTCTTTGCATTTAGTTAATCATTTGAATGAGGGATTAAACTGTATGTGAAAATGAAAGTCATATTTAAACATTCCTAATTATTAAGTGCTGACAACAAAGGTACCTGGCTTACCAGGCTTTTGAAGTTACTTCCAAAATAATGTAATTTTACAATCAGTGCCCTTATCTTCAAGAGGGGTTGAACAGCAATCCTCTGTAGTAGAATTAGTACAGAATGGTGGTCTGGTTGGTGAGGAAAATGGCTTCTAGAACTCAGGAAATGTGGAATGCTTAATCTTTTTACAATAGATGTGAATGTCTTTCTCCTGTCTTATCTATAAAATATTAGTTAAAGTAAAACATTAAATTGAGGACTAATGGAAGGTAAATCCTAACCAACAAAAATATTCTCACCACGCTTTCAAAAAGCCAACATCTCTGTTCTCTATTTTACATTTCTGTTCCTTTCCTTTTACTGGTGATATCTGCACAGTGTTCAACTTTGTCTTTTGTAAAAATTGTACTAGGCTTAGTGTGTGGTTGTACAGGCTTGAAGTTTTTGCTCTGAGTTCATCAGGTGCTTTTGTAATTTTGTGGTTGGTGAGTAATATTTCGAGACATCTTATTTTCATCTAGAAACAAGAGTAAAATACTATTTATTGTAAAATATGTGGGAATCATATATGTATATATACTTAGAATTTTCTGTGTACAGAGAAAGTATGTGTACACATTTCTATGTAAATAAAAAGAATTTGCTAGATCTGTCACATGACTTCAAGGTAGTTATTTTTAAAACACTCTTTGTTCTGCTTGTTTCTTTTCCTCCCAATGGTTTATTCTGTGTGTGTAATATCAAGTGAGCATTAAAGTTTTCCTTATGTACATATCAAATAGGGCAGCTTGGCTGTGGAGATTATAAAGTAGAAGAAAAGGATAATACACATAAAGCACTTGGTACATATCCTGGCATCTAGTAAAGACTCTATAAATGTGAACTGCCATTATAATTTTTATTATTATTATTACAAAATGAAATGAGATTCAGACTATCAGTGTTCAAAAGCTAAGCATTACAAACATTATTTCCATGCAAAGTAAAACCCTGTAAATTGATCTATACAATTCTTAGATTTTAAAAGGGCTTGTGGAATTTTTTTTTTACACTTTCCCATAAACATATTTTGAAATTGAAGTAGAACATATGCCACATATATTTCTAAGTCATGATTTCATTTCAAAGCTTACATAATTGTTGGTAATGGTTCTTGACACAATATAAATCAGACCCCATTTAAACATACAAATGCACACATTTCTGCAGAACCATTTTTGCCTTTTAGTACTGCAGCTGAGGAAGAGGACATTCATGTAAGTTAAGATTGTACCCAATGACAAATTGTGCAAAAATTAAAGAAATAGAACATTTTTAATTTAAAATTAAAATAAATAAATAAATTAATTAATTAATTAAACTAAGAGGCAGATTGATAACTAAATAAAGTAATCAGCCCAATATTAACATATAGAAGAGTAATATTTCAAAAGAGTGCAACCTACACTATCTTCTCAATCCCTTCATTTGACAGTCAAGTAAACCCAAGTCCCCATGAGTGTGAAAAATGTGCCTACCAGTAACTGGCAAACTCACCTGCAATGCATTTCTCATGACTCCTATTGAAGCAGATATTCAAGACAACCAAAGTAATTGCAGTAAGTTTATAAAAAGACACAATCCAGAAGCCAAAACTAAACATGAAAATGACTAGAAATGCTCTCCTTCCAAAATCTTCAGGATAGGGATTTCTCTAGGAACACAAAATTTTTAAAACTAAAACTATAGTAAAATAAAGTCAGGATAGAATCATTATATCCAAAGATAAGAATTCTGGAATACATTAGAGATATGACTGGCTAAGAATTTACAACAGCAGAACAATACATTTGGCAGTTTTCAAGTGATTATAGCACCTGCAAACATACTCTTATAGAAATTGGTAAATTGTGTGGAATACTTTGATTGCCTAAAGGTGTTTTTTACCTCATAAAGCATCTTAAATTAATTGGCTTATCAAATAGAGGATGGAGCCACACATTTTTACTTGCAGTAAAACTATAGTTCACCCAATGTTAATTAATCATAACTTTCAACGAATGGAAATGTAATATTGCCAATTGTAAGAGTCAAATCACAGGAAAACAAGCTCCTATTAGAGATTTTTTTTTCTTTATAAAAATCCTATAGAAGATATTCAAGGATCATTTTATATTCACCCCAATCTTCTACTTCATACTGTGCAGTCTAGAACTCTGGGAACATATCCCATTCTGTTTAGTTATTAATATTTCTTTCTCTGCATCCAATTCAGCTCCCCCATAAATAGTACACTTCCAGGAAGTGGAGCAGACCCACAAACAAGTACACTCATGCTTTTCTGTGCTGTTTTCCCTTCAGCTGACTTGAATAGATGCTCTGAAGGACACATTGAAAGAGGCAAAGCAACTGCCACTCTGGGTGCTTCTCTTATGAAAGAGACTCACTGAACTAACCCAAAACCCACCTGGGACTGCTATATGAGAGATAAACAAATACATTGTTCTATATGTCATTGAATTATTAGGATGGATTTGTTACTGAAGCTCAGCATGAACTGACTAATACTACAAATGTATAGAATCTTCTCTACTATACAAGAAACATGAAAAAACAAAGAAATGTGACACCCCAAAAGGAATACAATAATTCTCCAGTAGTAGACCCAAAAGAAAAGAAAATTTATGAAATGTCTGAAAAGGAATTCCAAATAATAGTCTTAAAGAAACTCAATGAGATGCAAGAAAATACAGTTAGACAACACAAGGAAATGAGAAAAACAACTCAGGATCTGAAGGAGATATTCAACAAAGAGATAGATATCATAAAAAAAGAACCAAGCAGAAATTTCGGGGCTGAAGAATTCATTAAATAAAATAAAAAATGCAGTTGAAAGCTTAAGAAACAGGCTAGATCAAGTAGAAGAATTTCTGAACTTCAAGACAGGCTTTTTGAAATAACCCAGTTGGACAGAAAAATAAAAAAAATAAAAAATTTAAGAAGTCCTACAAGATCTATGGGACAGCTTTAAGAGCACATATCTCTGTATTTTGGGTGTTCTGAACAGGGAAGAAAAGGGAAAAGACATTGAAAACCTAGACAGTGAAATAATAGCTGAAAACTTCTCAAGTATTGGGAGAGATATGAACTTCCAAATCCAAGAAGCTCAAAAAGATCCCCAAATAGATTTAATCCAAAAAGGTCCTCTATGAGACACATTGTAGTAAAACTGTCAAAAGTCAAATGCAAAGAAAAAATTTTAAAAACAGCAAGAGAAATGTTTCAAGTCACCCATAAGGGAATCCCCATCAGACTAACAGCAGATTTCTCAACAGAAACCTTACAGGCCAATAGGGAGTGGGATGATATATTCAAAGTGCTGAAATAAATGAAACTTCCAGCCAAGAATACTATATCTGGGAGAGCTATTCATCAGATAACAAACAAAAACTATGGGAATTCACCACCATAAGACCAGCCATACATGAAATTCTTAAGGTAGCTCTACATCCGGAAGCAAAAGAATGTTAACTACCATCATGACAGGAGGTGAAGAATAAAACTCACTGGTAGAGCAGATGTGCAAACAAGAAAGAGAAAGAAATTATATCTTATCACTACAAAGAATAAAAACAAAGAAAAACAATAAAAGAAAAAAAGGAATAAAATATATATGAAACACCCACAGAAAAATTAATGAAATGTCAGGAGTAAGGCACTACCTTTCAATAACAACCTTGAATGTAAATGGATTAAATTCCATATTTAAAACATATAGACTGGCTGAATGGATTAAAAAACAAAACCTAACTATATACTGCCTACAAAAAACTCACTTTACCTGTGAAGACACACATAGGCTAATAATGAAGGGATGGAAAAAGATATTCCACACAAATGGAAGCCAAAAATGAGCAGGAGTAACTATACTTACATCAGATAAAACAGACTTCAAAACAAAAACTATAAAAAGGGATAAAGAAAGACATTATATAATGATAAAGAGATCAATTCAGCAAGAGAATATAGCAATCATAAAAATGTATGCACTCAACACCAGAGTACCCATATGTATAAAGCAAATATTAGTGAATCTAAAGGGAGAGATAGACCCCCCCCTCAGTACAAAAATAGTTGGAGACTTCAACAGCCCTCTCTCAGCTTTGGTCAGATCATCTAGACAAAAAAATTGACAAAGAAACACTATTATTGGACTATAGATCAAATGGACTTGACAGAATGTACAGAACATTTCATCCAACAACTTCAGAATGCAAATTGTTCTCATCATTCTCCAGGACAGAGTTAGTCAACATGTTAGTCAACAAATCAACTCTCGACAAATTTAAAAATATTGAAATCATATCAAGTACCTTTTCAGATCACAATGGAATACAACTAGAAATCAATAACAAGCAAAACTTGGAAACTGTACAAGTACTTGGAAATTAAACAACATGCTCCTGAATGACCAATGGGTCATAGAAGAAATTAAGCAGGAAATCAAAAAATTCCTTGAAACAAATGAAAATAGAAGCACATCATACCAAAATCTATAGGATACTGCAAAAGCAGAACTAAGAGGGAATTTTATTGCAATAAGTACGACATCAAAAAAAAAGAAAGATTTCAACTAGGAAACTAGAAAAGCAAGAACAATTAAATCCCCAAATTAGTAGATGAAAATAAATTAATAAGATCAAAGCAAGCCTAAATAAAAGAGACAAAAAATGATACAAAAGGTCAATGAAACAGAAAGTTGTTTTTTTTTGAGAAGATAAACAAAATCGGCAAACCATTAGTCTAAAAGAGTGAAGACCCAA